CTCTCTCTCTCTCTCTCTCTCTCTCTCTCTCTCTCTCTCTCTCTCTCTCTCTCTTTCAATCTCTCTCTTGCTCTCTCTTGCTCTGTTTTACATTCTCTTGCTCTCTCTCTCTCTCTTGCTGCTGCTCTCTGTCTCTCTCTCTCTCTTTTCTCTATCTTGCATTCTCTTGCTCTATCCCATGCTCGTTCTTTCTCCCTCTCTCTATCTCTCTCTTGATCTCTCTCTTGCTCTCTCTCTCTCTCTCTCTCTCTCTCTCTCTGTCTTCCTCACTGGATTGGAGAAGCAAGAGGTCGGACGGGAGGAGGTCGGGAGCTTGCGGAGGGAGAAGCAGAGAGCGGAGAATGGAATCGTGAGTGGAACCGAGCGTGGAAGAGCAGCGACTGAAGGCTCCATCTGCTCTGGTATTTAACGACGCGTTTAGGTAGAGATCGAGAGCGGGCTTCAAGAAAAAATCACGGGATGCGATTGTTCGGCGCCGATTTCAGCTAGATTCGCGGCAGAATTCAAGGGATTTTCACTTTGATTTCTCATCTCTTTTATTCCTTGAGTATTATATGAAGGTCAACAACGACCTGAGTAAAAATGAAATTATGGGTAGCCCCATTATCAATCAATATTATCACCTCCATGCCTATTATTTCCTCCTTCACCTTCATCATATGATTCGAAGTGAATCCTACTACTGAATTTAGGGAGACCTTTGTCACATCCAGATGCAACTTGTTATCCATCTCTCTCTCACCTCCCTCCTACATTTCCTCGTCATCACAGATGACGAGAACCTAAAGAGTTTGATCCCTATACATGTGCCCAGGAGTATACTTCTCATCACACCAGAAACATAACCCCTTTGTCCTCTTCTCCCATATCTCTTTCTCTGTCAGCCTCCTGAAATTTTCCCTACTCCCTCCTACTGGCTTCTCCTTAGTGGTCTCATGAAATCCTCCTAATGTCGGACCCTTGGGTGCTAAATGAGTAGTCGTCATCCTGCAAGTGCCTCCTGAGCTGCTACTCATAGCTC